TGGATAATATTTCGATGGGTCTCAGTGAGTCCGACGATTCGTCGATATCGGATTCATCGGAGTCTCTGTCAATATCCCTGTTATTGCTGTCAAGTTCCCAAATTTTTACAGAACCTATCTTTTCTCTTACGTCGAACTTTTTGCCCGCTTTTAATATACGATAGCGCTTTATCCACGTGGCGAATTCTCGCTTCTTCGCTCATTGATGTATTTTCCTTTATTCTTCGCTGTTTCCGATTTTTCTAACTGGTCCATTTTTTTAATGTGGCATATGGCATACCACGTTTCGCGTAGTCAAATTCGGTTGTTATGTAATAGTATATGCCATATGTCACGTTACGCTGAATGTTCGCATAAAAGTAAAAAAAAAAAAAAATGATAACTCCTCGTATTGAGAGCTTGGGTCGCCTGTGGGTGTAAGTACTTTTCCTGACTTTGTTATTCCAGAAATTTTAAATGGTCAAAAGAACATGATATACTCCTAGCCGGAGAGATGTTGACAGTTGAACCCTACAAATTTAAGAGCAGAAGCCGCGAGAATGGGCAGGCGTGGGAACTTATTGCATCAAACCTGAACGTTGTCCATGCACCACGTTTCCGAATGTTACAGAAGTCTGTTAGAGAGCGAACAAGGATTTTGCTGAAAAACTATAAATTAATAATAAGAGAAGAGGAAAAGGCGTCAGGAGTTGAAGTTCCAGAACTTTCAGAACTTGATGTTGCTTTAGAAGAAATAGCCGAGAAAGAACAAGCAGCACAAGTAGAGTTAGATCTTGAGGAATCAGCTAAAAAGAGTGAATTACAAGACAAAGCAAATGCTGAAGAAATGCGCCTTCAAGTTATGGAAAAACTTAAAGAGAGTAAGAAGTGTAGGGAAGCTTCTGGGCTGACAGCTACTGATCAGAAACAAAAGAAAGCAAGACGTAGTGGATCAGAGACACTTGAGTTCATGAGAGAAAAACTGGAAAAAGACATGAAGATGAAGCAAGAAGAGAGGGCAGAAAGGCGATCTGAGCAGCAGAAAATTACAGAACAGATGCAACTGCAACAGCAGATGCGACGTCAGCAGATTCAAGACAAGTTAACAGCTTTTATGCAAGGAGAGCTGATACAATGTACATTTTCCCTACACTACTTAAGCCGACCTAAAGGTTTTTTTTAAATCAAGAAGCTTAAAGTAATTAATTATGTCATTAAATAGCCATTCAACAGATGTTCTAACTTCACTCATACACTTGTTAAACTGCTGCGTTTGAGGAGTTAAGTGGGCATTCCTAAATGGACCCTGCAAAAGCCCCCTTAGTGGGAATGCAGGGTCCCCATAGATGCACAGAGGCTGCCCAGCTGGCGAGATTGCATTCTGTTGCAGTTCCCTCAAGAAACCAGACTCTGTCAACGTACTTGCATCATGTTTTTTTTGCTTCTTCACCATGGTGATCAATATGGACGACAAAATGTTTTTATTTAACAGATTAACACTTTTCCTCAATGGGAGGGAAGGAGCACTGAGTGTGTTGTTAGACCCATAGACCATTGACATTCAAGTACTGGGGAAGTAGTCAGAAAACAATATTTATCCGTGGGGTTCTGGGGGTCGGTTTAGAAATCGGTCTTACAGTGCCGTCTATGAATCCGAAGCAGTTGTCTAAGGATGCTCCTTTTGCCGAAACTGCACCTGTGTACATCTGCAGCGCAGCGGGGTTCAGAATATCGTTATTCCAGATAGTTATCTTGTGATGGTGAGTATTGTATATGTAGCCTATAACCTCGTTGGTAATCATGCCCAGGACAGGAACTGGTCTGCCGAAACGATGAATAAGATCTGAGTATCTACAAGGGTAAGCAAGCCTTTTAAGAAGTATGCAAAGTCCTTCCGTTCCAGTGAAAACCGATCTCTGATTGCACTTTATTAGAGGAGGGATCTCTAACACCTCTTCTAATCGCAGAATTTGTCGCTTCTCGAAACGAAGTTCGGCAATACACTTGGCTTCGTCCATATCGTCGAGGTTGAACCGGTCGTATGCATCATAGGGAAAGTCAAGGTTTTCTGAAGTGTTAAGCTCATTTAAGACCACAAATTCCATGTCATCCAANGTGATGGTGAGTATTGTATATGTAGCCTATAACCTCGTTGGTAATCATGCCCAGGACAGGAACTGGTCTGCCGAAACGATGAATAAGATCTGAGTATCTACAAGGGTAAGCAAGCCTTTTAAGAAGTATGCAAAGTCCTTCCGTTCCAGTGAAAACCGATCTCTGATTGCACTTTATTAGAGGAGGGATCTCTAACACCTCTTCTAATCGCAGAATATGTCGCTTCTCGAAACGAAGTTCGGCAATACACTTGGCTTCGTCCATATCGTCGAGGTTGAACCGGTCGTATGCATCATAGGGAAAGTCAAGGTTTTCTGAAGTGTTAAGCTCATTTAAGACCACAAATTCCATGTCATCCAACCATTCTTCACAGTACCCGAACAATAAAGTTTCTCGGGTAGCCCTAAGAGACGCCATACTTAAAAGGAGAAGCTAAGACCACAGTGGAATAAATAGTGTCGTCTTCAAGTTTGCTTAGCGTTGTTTTTCCCGCCAAAAGACGTCGACCTCGACCCAGTCTCCAGCGCACGCAGCAAGCGTCCACTGCGCCGTCGTCGTGAGTTGCTTAAAGTCTCTAATACCACCTGTAGTAGCTACATGGCCGGTGGCGAAGTGCATTTAAGTTTTGCGGCTTCAAGCCAAACGCACTCAGTTCAGCCAATTAAGCTTATGCCAAACTGTCAATCTAGCAATTGTACAATTCATTTCAACGCTTACAAAGAAGCTTATCGAACTTTCCTTTCATGTCTTTTACAAATTTTGAAACTCACATGGCAAGATTTTGTAATTTCTAGCCAGCTTCGCTTGATTTATTGTATATTTTCATTGAGAGAAAATAAAAGCCATTCAACTTGTAAACGCTCGCGTGATTGTTTAGACTGTTTTGGTGCCATTTTTTTGTTTCATCAATGAAAAGAGGGAGAGTGTGACAGTTTTGCGTGCGCACGCCGACCTGTAGGGCAAACAGGTTTTCTACTGCACAAATAACTGTACAATATCGCTATATATTTGTACCGTTATTTGGACGGTATTCGCTGCAGTTGGATAATAAACAGCGATACTACACACCAAAACATCTAATATGATGTGTATAGTCCCCTCGACTTCGTCTCGGGGTATATTCACCGATATTCACTTAGCCTTCGGCGAATAATTGTTAATTACTACTAAGTCTGCCGGCTCTTCTGGTACCACCAAGTTACAAGACAAGATACGAAGGGGTCTTGACAAGAGATCTGGAGAATTTCACTTCCTTGGCTATATGTTTTTTACGATTAACATTTGTTACGGCTAACAGTTAAAATTTCCAGTTTTTACTCCTAACTGCTCAATTTTTGGTCTGTTTTACGGCTAACGGTTAATCCCATTGAGACCTTCAATTGGCAAAGTTCTCCAAGAATCAGCATCGAGCCACTGTAAGTGATCAGCTGAAGGCAAGCTAAGATCAACGGCGTTAGTTAATAATAATTAATATCTTTTTTCATATTGTTTGAATTAAGCAGATTGCGGAATTCAGCAGCTAACAACTGCAGAAGGAGAAATTACGACACCGCACTACAACACAGAGTACCCTAACAAACTGGTTTGCGAGTGGATTATTTCAGTAAACGCAGAACAGAAAGATCTCAGGCTCAAGTTCATGGCGTTTGAATTGGAAGAGAGTGTTGACTGTGCTGCAGACTATGTTGTTATACGGGATGGGAAAGACAAATCAGCGCCGTTGATTGGTAAGAAGGGATTAAAACAAACAAACAAACAAACAAACAAACAAACAAAAGTTTTCAAGTTTAATTTTGAATTTCTTAGTTTGAAGATTTTCAATGTTCCACTATGATTGTTTATCAGGAAAGTATTGTGGGAAGACTTTACCAGTGCCCGTAAATGCCTCAGCCCAGTCCCTGTATATCATGTTTCACACGGACGAGCTGGACGCCTTCAAAGGTTTCAAAGCAGAGTGGAGTTCAATTTATATTGGTACCAAGAGGTCAACAGGACCACCTACCATCAAAGCAGAGTGGAGTCCAACTTATAATGGCACCAAGAGGTCAACAGGACCACCTACCATCAAAGCAGAGTGGAGTCCAACTTATAATGGCACCAAGAGGTCAACCGAACTACCCACCATTAAAGCAGAGTGGAGTCCAACTTATAATGGCACCAAGAGGTCAACCGAACTGCCTACCATCAAAGCAGAGTGGAGTCCAACTTATAATGGCACAAAGACGTCACCAGGACCTACACAAGGACCACCTACCATCAAGAGTGCTGCACATGGTAAGCTTGTTGCTTTGTGAAAAATTGTGATGTAACTGATTTCGTGGCTAAAGCTAAGCTGAAAAGGTCAAAAACTGGAATCAAACAAGGTAAAGAGTTGGAGGGGATCGAGTTTAACTCCTGACACCAAGAGCGCTACCCTTCATTAGAATAGTTTTGAAAAAAAAGAGTTATGAAGTTGTTTCTTCTTTTTCTAAAAAACTGATGAAATCACTGAACGTAGAGTTCAATTTATTATTGGAAAAAGGCGAAAAGTAAAGGTACTTGTTGTAACAGAATGTGACCTAATACATGTAGTACATAAGTAATAATTAAAGAACTCCCGGATCTTCTTCCTTCGGGTCTAACGCAACTGACTCGTGTTCTGAGTTTGATCTTTTAAATCTTTAAATCCCACCCCATCATGACAGAAGAAATGAATTCAACATTTGTCAACAAGCGTTATCATATAAACACACGAGGAGGGAAGCAATGGTGGAGAGAAAAGCTGGCCACAAAAGAATTAACTTACAGCAAACTCAAAGTGTTTTTAATAAATTCCGAGGTTGCAGGCCCTGCATTAACTCATATTTATATTGTTTTTGTTGACATGACAGATCACCATCCAGTAATATGGCAGCTGATTGGATTTCTTGTACTGACATCATTGGCGTTCGGCCTGTAAGCCTTGGAAGCCACGTTTTGCTTTTTTGTGTATCATATTAGTTCAACAAGATGAAAGCGGAGACAGATGTGAGATTTTAACCTCAGCGAGGAACGTTAACAAAAGGAAATAAGTTATTAACACTATATAATCCTGGACCTCAAGACATAGCTATTTTCGTGTTCAGTGTAAAGCCTGGCAATTGCTTAATTTTTTGTTTATCGGTAAAGTAATCAGTACAATCTAAGGAACTCTGAATTTGTTGTACCCCCTCTAGCACAGTAAGGTATGAAAAGTATCCTTATCGATGTGTCCCTGCACATCAATATAAGAAATGCTCGAGTAAGCACAAGAAAGCAGTGAAGTTTATTTTTAAGTAGAGCTGATTGTATTTTATCTTAGTTGTAATCAAGGATTACAGTTTAGTTTAGTAGTGTTCATTTATTTTATACAAGATGGATGTCTTTCTGGTAGCTAAGGAAACAGCGAGAACTTTCTAAGTCTTTAGACTCTTAGCCTGAGGGCTTGCCCTTTCCTTTCACTCTGACTGCACTTTATTGTTAACAGTACGGAATTGTCTAGTGGTGAAATAAAAGATACAAATACCAAGTCTGTGGGGGAGATTAATGTTTGCTGGACTGGAAAAAATAGTTAAATATCAAATATGAGATAAGTTACTGAAATTAAAGTGCATTACTAGAATAGAGAAAAATGGTATCTAGTCTATGTTTGAGATGCTATAAGGCCATAATGGTGCAGTAGGGACATTGGGGATTGTTTAGCGGTAAATACCGCGTATTTCCTTAACAAGTGGTCCACAAAGAGTCTTCGAACTGAACGTGCCGGCAAAATATGCCACCATTTAAGAACTGTAGTAACCCACTGACTTCCATAATGGAATATTTGAGTACAACTGATTCGTGATTTAGTATACTTAAGCGCGTCAGTTTCTTATCGAGCTAGAAAAATATCAACTCTTAAAGCTAAATATTGAAACGAGTTGAGAATATCAACTTCTGGCATGATTCCTTTTCTACACAAATTCGTATGCCAATTAGTCGAAATATAAGCGATGTCGTAAGCAAAGGTCATTATCTGAGAAACAGTGGTGGTGGCACGAACTGTCGCACGAATGTGCTGACAGTTTGCGTTATGCACGAATGCTTCATGAACAGCATGATTTATGCCAATTTTCAATAACGGGTCAACAACAATACAGCGAGCTGAGTAGCAAATCTACTTGTATGCCAGAAGACATTTCATCATCAACATGGTCACAAAGATGGAGAATGGTTCCTTGATGTTCTTGTTGCTTTTTCTTCTCACAGGTGCGTGGGGTTAAACTTAGCAAGGCTGTGTACTGCTTACATTGATCTTCAATGGCGCGTGCAAATGAAACGAAACGGAGCCAAAACAACTAAGTTTCCGTTCAGCTTTCATTCTTTATAAACTAACAGTCCAACTGCAAGGTGACAAATCTTAAGAAGTAACTAATTGTGAAGACCTAATAATCAGATCTAGAACAGATCAAGACTAAGTGATCCATGTTTCCATCTGGACGCCAAGCTGATGACAGACACACTGAAGATTGCGTATCGTTCATGAAAACGAGTTTATGTTGCCGTTAAAGTAGTATTTTCTCTTTGGGCGAGTGGAAGTCTGTCAACTAAAAGGGTTGTGAAAATAAATAAGCTCTTTCGGTGTATCACTACTTTGGGAGCTTCTTCGGTTCTAGACTTTATTACTTCCCTCCCGCAGGGAAAGAAGGCAATAAAGCATTACTAAGAGGAGTGAAGTACCTCAACTCGACGTAGTTTTCAATATTTATTCGTTACGCCTAATTGGCAGCTTTGTTTTATTACTCTCGCTTTCCGGTTTAGTTTGTTTGACAATATCACCGCTAGTGGAAGCCAATACTAAGACCCAGTCTCTACGCTCGATACTGAACCACTTCACCGACACAAGAAATGTTTATATCGATCCTGTCGCCAAACAGAGAGCACGCGACTTCATCGTGAACATGTTTAAGGATCACGGATTGCACACGTGGACTGAGGAGTTCCCTAGTAACCAAGAAAAGGTAAACAAAGAATAGCTAAAATAACGGAGAAGCGTTCTCAAGTCGAAATACTCGTTAAAAGAATTTTCTGAGCTCCCAGCGGGAGTCGAACCCACGACCTTCAGAATACCGGTCATGGGTTCGACTCTCGTTGTGGGCTCAGAAAATTCTTTTTCTGAGCATTTCAACTTGAGAACGCTTCTCCGTTATTTACACTTTATCCAAGTCACCAATCCATTTATCAAAGAATAGCTTCTCATCAAAAGGCAAACACAAAGGAAAATAGATCAAGCACTCTAAATAAAATGATTGACAAATTTACTGCAGTTTTGATAAACTAAAAGAGCCCATTTTTTACTGATTCTTTGCAAAACCATGAGGCTACTGTGCCTCTCTCTCCGTCTCCACGACTCTACTTTAAAGTGAGGTAAAAATTCTCTAATTAGAAATTGGCTCTGATTGCAAGACAAAATTTGAGCTACTTTTGAAATAGGCAAAAGTTCACATTTTCTAAGTTTGCGAAAAATCTGCCTGCTAAAGCAATTCGAACATTTTACAGAATATTTAATATGAAAGTTGGGCTTTTCTACTACCTCACTGAAAACGGTAGTTACAGCAAAGTGAGTGCATTGTTAATCTACTTTTAAGAGGCACTGTTCATTTGTATTAAAAGTGATTTAAGTATTCCGCATTATGTCACATGACTTGACAATCTTCTCAGAAGAAGTAGAACTGATTGCAGCAATAACAAAAATGACTTTACTATTTGTTTTCCATTGTAAACCAAACATTTTCGCCATTTACTATCGTTTTTGAGGCCCGTGAAACGATGCTGGTAAGGATCGACCATTAAATTTATGTAAACAGGTTCAAGCACACGGGCTTCTTCCGATGAAAATTATCTGAAATCTGTTATATTCTGTCTAAATTAAAACTGTTTGGCTTTTTCAATGCGCGCACCTGTTTGGTGGGTAAGACTGACGCCGTGTTAATTATTTAAAAGTTCCCGGGTACGTTTTGTAAATATGACAAACCAATCTATAAGTAGGTTATGAAACAAGAGAAGATCAAGGTAACCACCTCTATTTCATGTAAATAATTAATTATCACAAGGGACACGGTGATCTGTTCTCTTTTTCTTATGATTTACAATAATACGTAAATGCATCTCTTTGTACAGTTGTTATATTTTTAGTATCCAGGAGTGAATGTCATTGGTAGACTGCCTGGTCGCTTCACCGGAACACGTGACGATAAAATGGTTTTGATTGGTTCCCACTATGACACAGTGCAGACCTCTCCCGGTGTTGATGACAATGGTTCCGGAATGACCGCTTTACTGCAGGCTCTAAAGCTTATCACCATTCCGGGTAATAAAATCGTTTTTGATTATTTTTACTTTTTTGTTTGTGAAGTAAGCTATAAAACGAGTACTAGAAATCAGATCAGTTATCTGGCGTAAAGAAAGAAAGCTTGCGTCGGGACAGGTGGTCCATACCACTGGAGCTTATCCCGGTTTACGTTGCATTAAGTGACCAGGTGTTCAGGACAATGTTCAGTGCAAAATTCTCATAGTAAACATCTTTAAAGCTTTCCTGAAGAGTATAATTGAAATGCACCAGGAGCCATAATCGGGGACGGAGACCGTAAGTCTTGGGATCCGCACGCACCTATGATATGGGACAATTTTTCTATTTTTAGAACAAATTGCGCCATCCTGACGTCATATATCCGCGCGGATTCACGC